CATGCAGTGAGGCAGGAAACAATGCAATTGCTTTTTTTCCCCCCTCCAGTTGTGTGTTTGCCCAAGCAGAGCGGAACATACCCATTGTTAACATCATGGACAAATATAGATGAAAAGTCTGTTGGAAATGGTTTGCAGAAATTCAAATGCCAAACTAGGTATGAGTGCTGTAGGACAGAGAAAAGCTCCCATGGAGAAGTCAGGAATAAGCCTTGAACAAGCCCACTTCAGGTCACGGGGATGAAAAAAAACCACACCAATCATGAACAGCTACAGGGAGCAAAGTTGTCTACCTGCTTTTCTGGTGTCCAAACTCAACTGGGAAAACATAAAAATTGCCCTTGCAGGGCACCAGACAGACAACTGGAGTTTCTGCATATTTTAGGCAGTCCCCAAGTCATCCTCACTGCTTGTCAAAGTCCTAAACTTTGCTGTTGTTTGTCTGCAGCTGGGGGCCCGACGTTACAACATGCAGGATGTCAGCGCTCCTCAAACAGAAGCAGGAACTGTGATCCCACAAGCAGGGCCCCAGACAGACAAGCACAGAAGATATGTGAAGTCAGGGGATCACATCAGCTGCTAGGATCCAAGCAAAACTGGTCTCTCATCCTGAGCCATCCTCACCTTGAAGGTTTGTAACGCTCCCTGCAGTGGAGCACAAACCTTCTCTGACCTGTCAACAAGCAAGAATTATCAGAGCTACTTAAGGTGTCCAAGTAGAATCAGGCTGTGGAACCACTAATGGGCCTAAACAGCCCATTTCCAGGATTTTCCTTATCTTCACCGAATTCTGAAATTGTTACCAAAGTAATTGAGCACTCTGGTAAGCCTATATGGGAGAGGTTAACAGAGAATGAGCTCCTGCTACCTCTTCAAGTTATAAAAACAGTACTTCTACAAAGACACTGGAGAAAACTGGTTGTGCCTCCTTTCAGAAAGGACTTGCCCTGGGGCGACACGGGCATAAACACACCATTGCTTACCCACCAGGAGAAATGCTGCTCCCACTTCCTCCAGGCTCAAGCAAGGGAAGGCCTCTCTGACCTATCCAGAAGTAGGTGGGAAACCTCAGGCAGGAAATGATCCATCACAGCCGAGACAGGAGTCAGAAAAGCCTCTGCGGTCAGCTATGACTGGAGTTGCTAGGCTAGTCCAGTATTACTGGCCAGTTCCTCAAAGGCCAGCACACACGCAGGCAGCTGCCCATCTAGGTGCCTTTGCAAGATGACAGAAACAACTTGGGTCGTGGCAAGATGCGTCAGAATGACTAGAGCAGTACTTGGAGCACATCTCGTATTTAAGACTTCCTCCTCCTCTACCATTCTGCAAACGTGATTGAAACCTTTCACAGATATATGCCAGAATATATGACAAGACAGCCAGCTACGTACAAGAGGCTGGACAGCAATGATTCGGGCTCTTTAGCTGCTTCTCCCTTAAAGCTTCTCTGAAGAGGACATCAGTTCTGGGAAATTCCTAAGCAGCAAAACACGACACCAAAGCAACCATCAATGCTGCTGGAAAGCTATTACTTTTGTGGAGCCGGCAAGACCTCTGAAGGAGGCAGGGGAAGCATCATGGTTAGTCTCAGGCACTAATGTGATGCTGATATGTGAGGTACCTCTTAATGCTTTACTGGTTATGTGACCTTCCAGGAAGGCTAGTTTAGAAGACTGTGACCCAAAACACATGGTTGTCTATCCTGAACTCGCCACAATCTTACTTCATGCTTTCCGTCTTGCATTAGCATTCCTGTCCCCTACACCAAGCAGGCAGGTCCCAGTGACATACGCAGCTTGTATGAATGAGGAGCTGTTCCTGGTGTTGAGCAGAAGTGAAAGCAGAAACATTTTTCCCCCTTCACCTACTGCTGCTAGATTAAGACACAGTTTTGAGATCAAACCTACAAACTACCTGAGTGTATTAGACTGCTTTTGAAAAAAACCTCTTAAACACATCTGACCTCTGAGCGCAGTAATAGCCATTACACAGCCCCGGTTCTTTGGCTTGTCTTAAGCCATGTCTTCCAGTCCAACCCTCTACTGTGCTCTTTCCCCATGCCACTGAGTGTTTCAAAGCACTCGGTACAATTGCATGAGCGCACACTTCGGCTGGCACACTCACCTGTTCTGCGCTGGAAGCTATTCCTGCTCTCCTAGAAGGCCCCAGGGACAAGACCTGCCTATGGCAGACCAGCAGCCTGCACATGAATGTCGAAGATGCAGCCAACTGCTGACGCACCATAATGAAAATGTAACTGCCCCAGCTGCTTAAAGGATATTGCTGGATTGAGAAGAAACACTAATCTATAGCCTAAATATTACTAAATTCAGCAAAGTTTGGGAATCCCTCTCAACTCTACACTGCAGGCAGCACGGTTATCTTTAACCAGGTACCAGTTTACTGTTTTTCACTACAGCTCTCCCCAGTGAGCCTAGGACAAGCTGCAGAGAAACAGTGTGACAGAGGATGGTGCATTTAGACTGCCCACGGCCACTCTATAGGTCAGAGGCAGCAAGCTGGGCAACGAAAAGAGCAAAGTTGGGCTCTGAAGTATAACTTGTGCAGAGAGAGAGGATTATGCCAGAACTAGATAAAACTTCACTCAGAAAGCAAAGGTGACTGCTGTTTAAAATCCACTGTTAAGCGTTACTCTTGTGTGCAAAAGTGCAACGCACCGCAGCGCCAGGCAGCACAGCAGGTCACAAGCAAAGCAGCTGGAGCAGCTTTAAGAGCTGCAGCCTGGGTCAGCCACTCAGAACAAGACCTGCAGCAACAGCTGCACTTTGCCATGGCAGAAATCCTTCAATAAGCCACGAAACAATGTACAGTCCCAACTGCAGAAGTGTAGACTGGGAACGAACACACTACACTCTCCAAACTGGCAAAATCTGCATTTAATTTACAACATAGTAAAGGTTACAGGTAAAAAGCTCAACAGAAAGTGTGAAAAGGCCTATTACATATTACACAAGTGTACAAACTTCTGTACAAAGCCCCTAGATGTTATATTGTCCCCTCCTGTACTGGCCAGCTATGGCCTCTAAGCTCTAAAATAATGAGAGCTTGTTCAAACCCGTGGAGGAGAAGAGCTTTAAAAAAAACAGTAAGAGGTAAAGCTTCCCTTTTCAAGAAAAAAATCTTGCAAAGAGCCACTTGCAAAAAACCAAAACAAAAACCACCCCCTCCCAAAAAAAAAACAAAACCAAAAAATAGGAAGAAAAGGAAGAAGAAAACCTGTTCAGCTTTTACTTGCCCTAACTAGTCTTACCCTAAAGAGTTGCCTTCATAAAGCAGACTGGCTAGAAAAAGAAAATTCTACATACCAGAAAGAAGCAAAACTAAAGGGAGAAAGATTTTAAGACTCAGCATGGAGTGTTTGGAAGCAGAATGTCTGAGTACTGAATCATATTCAATAGCAACTAAACACAGAGCGGCACAACTATGTCATGGAGCAGGTACTGTACTCATCCATATAATAGTTTGAGCTAGATATGATGGTGCAGGGAGAACAACCAGTCTCTAAAGTCATCGCTCTTGTAAGTGGGGTAGCTACTAGCTCATTTTAACCTCAAGAACATGATAGAAGCAATCACTCTGCAGATGCAGAAGTCACACTGATTTTGGAGCATCTGTCCAAGGCAGGTATAGTGCATACAGCACACCAGATGCACTATAACACAGCACTGCTCCAGCAACCATCAGATTTTCACACCTCTACTTAGCCAGGTAGCTACAGTACTGTACACAATGAACAGCTGGGTACACTACTATCATTTTAGTGCACATTTCCTGGAGAAATGCCCCAAACAACAAAGGAATGCGACTACATAGCTGAACTGCATTATATAATGTAAAAAAATCCAGAGTAAACCTAAGAAAAACAGAGCTCTGGCCTTACCTTGACTAAAGTAAAGACATAGCGTCTGAATACACATGAATCGGATTTTGAAATCTAAAACCGAGGATTTGAAGGGCTAGAGCAACAATTCAAATCAAGCTTCTCATTTTATTCAATGGGAAAAAGTGATGAAGTACTCAAAAAATGTAGTATTATGAAACCAACTTGTGCACTGCTTTATTCAAGGCGAGGCAGATTCTCTACTGAGAATTCATGTTCTAGCTTTAAGTAGCATTCAATTCTTACCCACTGTTACTAGCAGCCAGAATAGCGTGCAGATTGTGGTTTTAGTTGTTAGACACGCAAGTCCTCTGACACTGCTGATGGCTGCTCATTTTTATGTGTGTCTTGTTGCATCTCACATATACTCCGAGCTCACAAGTTCCATTTGCAAATAAAAATGAAACTAAGTTAAAAGGGCCACCAATAAAAGAAACTGTTCTCCTCTGTGTTAACTCCACCTTAAGTTATCACGGGGGAGAGAGTCGACACTACTTTGTTTATTGTTTGTACAGTGTAGATAGTGCCTATCCACCAAACGCTGCTAGGCTTGCCATGCTTGTATGCTACCATTAGTGCCAACACAAGCTCAGATCCGTCCACATGTACATTTATCCATCCACACAGCACTCCATCGTACAATACTGCACCACAGCTAAGGAAGCTCACCTATTTCTCGTCCATCTCAACTCCATGTTCTCATGAGCTAATGGGATGCTGTAGTGTTTTAGGTGGAAGTTAAAACAAGCTGTAGCCAAACAAAACAAAAAGATAATGCCCCACATTGGTGGGGTTTTGAAAATGTAAAAAATAAAAGCTGACCTGTATTTTGCAAGTTTTAGAACTCATACCAATGGGATTTCTGAAAGGCTTGGCCCCACAAACATTCACTTCTGATACAGCTGACCTGCTATGAGCAAGTCCAGCAGGAACAACATTACTCATAGTAACCACGACACCTAAATACACGAATTTGCAGGGTCATGCCATAAACGATAATTAAATTGTATGACTCTGCCCCTTCAACTTACGGATCAAAATTCAGAGTAAAGACCTCTGGGGACAGTAATGACTAAGAAAAGGCTGCCAGATATTTTGGTTCAAAAGGAGATGGGAACTGTATTTTTTTTTTAGAGAGACATATAAAAACGTTTGAAGACATCTTTAAAGGATATTTCACTTCTCCAATCTTGGTATTACATCTGGTTAGGACATTGAAATTTTAAAAAGACGATACTGCACATAAACAGTTTCTGGAGTTCGTAACTCCCACCCTCCCTCAACAAAACCCAACTCAGATCAGTAGGGAAGGGGTTGGCTTCTTGCCCGGCCACGCCTCCTTTGCATATTTCTTCTTCTTGGGTTCATTCACAGCTTCAGGATTAAAGACAGCAGGGTTTGGAGCTGGGTTCATGTTAACTGTTGAGGGCACAACAGGAGTCAAGTCCACATCTGGGGCAAGATTGGGGTAGGGCATTGGCAGACCACCAATGAGTGCTGTCCCATGGACGCCATGCGATTGGGAACCTGCCTCATTGTGAGTTGGAGGTAAACCACCATATAATCCTCCACTATAGGGAAAGTTTTGCATACGTCGTGATGCAGAATCATCTGTGGTCAAAGAGCCTGGATTCTCCAAACGTTTTTTCTGTAGACGGAAGTATTTAAAGAATTATTAAAAATACATGAAAAGAGCAATCTATTTAAACTGGATGCCAACGTCATTTTCCCCAAAAAGGCACCTAGACCAGCCACATATGAAGTGGTTACAGACGATGTCCCAGTCTTTGTCCCAGAAGATTTCTTCTGGGTTTCCTTGAAAACCACTTAATAATAAACTCTTAGAGATGCACAATGCAGGAAGGGGTGACAGAGTTGAAGCTCAGGTTTAACTTCGATCAGGTCTGAGCACCTCTTTACTTCCTGCACATCCTTGTCAGTCTTGAGCTTGTCCTGAACCCAAGACCAAGGAGGTCTTCAGTCAGTAACACAGACCCTCCTTTCCCCACAGTAAGAAACTGCAACTTGTAGATCACTTGTGTGATTTTGTCTAGCTCTTGATCATTTGAATCTTCTCCTGCAGCCTGGGGTTTATGCAGAATTATCCTTTTCCACATACATTATTTAGTGTATACCAGCAACAAGCAAAATTGCTATTACACTGTTGCTTAGCTACCCTGAAGTTTTATAAATCTTCCCTGCTCCTAGGCATATTCAAATTAAATACAGCACTAGCAGCACACTCATCCTGGAGCAAAGTCTAAACCCTGCTAGTTCTAGTAGACAACCTTATGAAGTCTTTAGCACTTACAGTATTTAAACAAACAACCTATTATTTTTCCTTTTCATTTTCCACACTTCCCACAATTTTAACTGATGCCTAGAACTACCATACTGAATTTCTAGAAAGCATTTCTTTTTTTGGGGGAAAAAGTTGCCATTGATCCCACGTGTTATTAAAGAGAAGAGCTAAAGCTGGATTTGAAGGGAAATGGCCAAATCTGCTAAAAAAAAGACAATTGTGAAACACGAACACAACTTTTGCTTAACAATAAAACACTTTCCACCATAGAACATTATGTTTCTAAGATGTAACTCAAAGTGAGTTCATCAATGTAATGTATTAATTAGAAAGTTGGGAGTTACTCCGTACCTTAACAGGGACTACTGCTGTCTGTACCATGTTCCTGAAACGCCCAACAGAAGGGTCCACATCCTCTGTAAAGGCAAGAACAGTGAAGCTTTCAGTAGGAATACAGGAAAAGATAGAACATCTGTCAGGTAAAGGAACCGGTATGAAGAATTGGTATGTGGACCTTCTCTTCTCAAAGCCAGCACTCTAGCAGCTCTCGCTAAGCACAAGCATGCCCAAACAAAGAGGGGAGCTAAGGGGACACCTAGTGGCTTTGTCTCAAGGTGGGCTCATCAGATACTGTGGTAAGAAAGGCTTCCACTCAGCGGAGAACGGGGAAAGGGGACAGATGAACGGCCAGTTTGCACTGATCAGACAGACTGGAGTTTGGGCTGAAAGCTGCTGCTGCTGAGGCACTGCACAAGCTCAAAGGCACAGCAGCTAGCCCTGGAAGTCCTTAGGGGACCTTGAAGGAGGAGTCAGAAGAATTCAGTGTAGAGTCTCTGAAAGTCTGAAAAAATTACCCTTTTTGTAATGTGAATGGCTGCTGTTTACATTAGGATGTTCTGAAAACTAAACTGCATAACCTTGTAAATCAAAATAGTTATTCTAGGTGGCATACACTGCCAAATGAAACTAGCTGCAGACTGTATTTTAAAATGCATATTCATTAATAAGCTACTCTTATTAATAGGAATATTACACATATAAAATATTAATAGGACTGCCATTAATATAAAACAGCTAAGGGAGAAAAATGACTATTTAGGAATTGGATACATCTTCAGAAGCATCGTTTTGAATGAGAATGACTTGTTGCAGATATGCAGACAAGCAGCAAAAAAGCTCTAGCTTGAGACAAATATCCATTAGGCAACAGGTAAGGAAAGAATTAACAGACAGATGAAAAACTAACACGTTCAGTTCCCATTTAAATTCTAAAGAAGGCAAAGAATTTAAAAGAATTTCCTCCTTTTGGACCCATGAGATCTTTCCAAAATCCAACAGAATTTTGTAGAATGAAGCCGAGTGTGACATCCCTGTCCTGCACAAATCATGCAGTTATTTTACAGGTAGAAGAAACAGAGAGAGGTCACAGACATAAGCGAGACATGCGGCAGCTTCTCTGAAATAGCATATCCCAAATATTAACTGCCAAATTTCTGTTCTCCTTATCCATATGCAGCCATGGGTAATCCCTATGAGAATACTGGAAAGAGGGCCTTAAAGGCTAAAGATTCAACTAAATCAACATACTCAACTAAAGATTAAAGCAAAATACTTACCTGGATTGATGATTTCATCATCATCACTGAATGTCACTCTGGAGTTCTTCCGTTTTCTCTTTGGCCTCTGAATATCCAAGTTCCCTTCCTCAATGGTTAGCGTGGAAATTCTTTTGTTGTGGGCTGTATTAAACTCTGTCAGGTTCTAATGACAAATTTGGACACGAAATAGTTTAAGCAACTAGTGCATGAAGTCTGATTTAATCATGTGATCGTGCGTATCAACAGCACACTGTTTAGCTTCAACTTTAGACCCCTAGGAAGAAAAGAGTGCTCCAGTGCTGCAACAGGTTGCCCAGAAAGGTTGTGGAGTCTCTGTCTGCAGAGATATTCAGGACTTTACTGAGCACGATCCTGGGCAACCTGCTCTAGCTGACTCTGCTTGAGCAGGGGGGCTGGACTAGATGATCCTGAGAGGTCCCTTCCAACCTCAACAATCCTGTGAACGCCACACACACTGCTTTCTCCCTCTTCACTAGCTAACTGTAGGAAACAGGGCAGCATTCACTGTTACCTGGCCATGAGGAACAGTGTGGGAAATCAGCCCAGACCTGGGGTAATGCTAGTTGGAGAACATGTACTCCCTGGCAAGCCTTTGTGAGAAGGCCATTGGAATAGACGGATTATTAGCTCACTGATTCTGGGAAGCAGCATGATCACAGGCTTATCATGGCAGAACGAGATGGACACCTCAGACTATCTTCAAGGCCAAGAAATTAAGAACCGGAACCCCAGCAAACAAGTGGGGAATGCCATCCGTTCAGCTGGAAATGCCATCTAGGTACAATGTGCCATTGTACTCACGTCAAGTTCTGTCTCCTCCTCTGGCAGGCCCAGCAAGCCCTTGAGCTCTTCATCTTCACCGCCCATTTTCTCATCTCCTTTAACTGCTGATGGCAGCGTCTGAGGCTTCTCTCGCAGAGTATATGCCCGTGTAGAAGCGCCAAATGAAACCGTGGAGTCAATGGGTATCTGTTGGGGTTTGTGCGGTTCCAAGCGGATATGACCCAAGAATGTGCCATGTGCTGATAACATCAAAATGCAAAATAGTCTGTTAAGTCACCAGCTTGGGCTCACAGTATTCACATTCAAGTCTTGAGAAGTTCAGAAACTGGACATGGTTGCTCCAAGATACAAGTCACTGAGGTTCTGCTGAAAACATTAGCTACGTACATTTTACCTACCATCTCACAAGCTAAGATAACACACATCAGAAGTCCTCAAAACGTCATGGAAATAAATGACAAACACCATTTACTTTCTGGATTCTTGTAGGTCCCAACGTACCGTGTCTGGAATCATTCCATCAGTGGAAGAAAAAGTATATCACGTTTTAGATCTCGGGGAAACCACCCGCAGAAGAGAAACCTTCATTAAAATTGTGAAGGGAAGGCCAAGTCACTTTCCCCCTCTCCCTTAGCCTCTTAGTCTAGAAATGTTGTTTTAAACACCAAGTGAAGCAGATGTAAGCCGACTGGAGCAAACACTCCTTTGCTCCTAACCCTTGCCAATCTTTCACTAGGATGCTAATTCAGATTATAGTCATCTATCCACACAGTGTAAACACCACAACAAAAAAAAAGAAAAAGCGTCTCAGATTCAGAAATGCTTAAGCACCGAAATATTGTACTTCTATCTGGTTAAATGTCACACTACTTACTGCTGTTTAGATCTATGAGGAAAACCCTCTTGAGATGTTTGTGATAGACCAAGGCAGCATGGACCCGAGAGCAAGACTGGTGGTCAATGGTAAAATCGCACAGATCAGGATTTCTCCCAAAGAGATAGTATTTCTTCTCATCAATGATGAGTTTCTGAGGTAGAATATCAAACAGAGAAGCATATTAGACTCCTATAATCTTTCGGATCTTCCTGAAAAAATCCAAGAACATAAATAAACAGAGCAAATTCAAAACAAAGCATCAACATCTAATCAATATTTCAGTTTTGTCTGACACTGTTCAGTACAGAAACTCAAATCTTCTCTTTGTAAAATGAGAACAGCTGAACACGGAAGAGTCCCAGTTATTCCCTTCTTTAACAGCCAATACAAGACAGCCTGGGAAGGACAATAACTCTTCAAAGCATGAGACTCTGTCATACAAGAGATTCTCTCTCACACCTGCTTCCAATGATTTTTACACGTTCCTCGAGGCACATGACCTTGGGCCTTGCCTAAGCCAGGTATCTATGCTAAATGATCTCCAGTCCGATACAGAACGTCAGAATTATATTTCTGTACAGAAGAGAATACAGGAGATTTCAGACCTTTGTAATAAAGATGTAAAACTATACCAAATATGTACTGTGATATGAATCTGTATTAGCCTATTCAAGTAAGCCATTAATTTTAGGCATTTCTTCTTAAGTCATCCTAGTTCTAACCTCTTCTTCAAACAAGATCTTACATACTGTAATATCAGTTACATAAACCATCTCTGAAAAGCAAAGGAACATTTTGACACAGTCCTACAGCATACACAGCATATTTCTACTAACAATGTTGTTAAAAGGAACGCCTTGCGCCTAAATCCTGATGTACCTAAGCACTGCAGCCTTCTTTTTCACTGTATCCCAAGATCTTAATCTAACCTGTGTTTTCTTGCTTCCAGCTGCACAAGTCAAAGGCTGGCAATGCATTACAGATTTGTTAACAGACGGCTTCTCCTGCTTTTTGAAGCATTTACCAAAGCCCACACAACGTTTCAATAGCATGATCAAGGAAATGCTGATAATACATTTTCCATCAGAAAAAACCAGATCTTAGTTCAGGAAAGCATTGCTTTCATGAGACGGTCTGAGCTGAATGAACACTTTGCCTGCTAGACACGAGGATTTCTTCCCTTTCCCTCCTTCCACTCCCAGCTATACAACCCTCTCCCACACATCTGAGCAAAGTTTTCAGCTTGCAGAGCACTTTTTTGCTGTGTTAGTCTACTACTGTTTTAGTGGACTGAATCAGTTTGCCTTCAGTCAGATGCGCACCCCAGCTGGCTCTAGCGAAGCAATGGATGACACACACTAGGGCTGTGTGATGAGGAAGGACCTCCCTTCCTAGCAGTGACATTCACATCAATCAGCTGTTTGCTCCTCAGTTTTGCCAGCTGTGTAAACCACATGCTCAGCTAGAAAGAGCTAATGTATCAGACTAGTTACATGTAGGTAGTTTGCAATTTTTTCTGAGCTATCAGAAAGACTGACACAATGAGCACCTAGACAGTTACTTATTCCGTGGCACTACCAAGTCATACAGAAAATAAAGAGACAGCTTGGAATAAGACATAGTATTTATACTCCTCTGCCTTACCTGCAAGCATAAAAATCACATGGACCTCTTTTTCTACGACAAATCACCTGGCAAAGTTACATCTATTTAACTGCCCACCAATTATGAACTTCAAGGCTTTTAGCACTGCTGCATTCAAATGTCACTTCCCCACTGATTTTTTTTTTTTTTTTTCCCCCCAGATGTGTTCTACATTTTCCACGTTGGATTTCTCATTGTTCTGCTGAACATTTGTCAGCCCCCATGCTGCAAGTTCTCGCAATCTGGTATTCAGTAATAAGTACTTAATTTATTTCTGTATGTTTATTCTCTCTTTTAGGTCACTAGAAGAAATAATTGAACAACTCAACTCCACACTAGTATACATCATGACAACTTTACAATTAATTGGTCCCTTAGGTAATAATCTGCTAATGTCTCATTCCCAACTAACTCAACGTATACATTTTAAGCATGATTTCATGAGAGTAAATGCTTTGTGAAATCTACTGACTTACCTATTTTAGCCTGCTTTCTTAAAACAACAAGATTTAGGTGATCAAGCTGTGTGCATATCCATCAGCTCCTGACACCCACTACTAAACCAAATAACTTCTCAACCAAGTGGACAATTTCAACCAGCACTACAAGACACTAAATTTCAAGAAGTTCTGGGAAAACAAACAGCACAACAACTTCATCAGTATCCTCAGCGATACACAGGCTGGCAGAAAATGCACAAAAGTGCCAATACTTAAGACTTTAACTATATAAAAGAAAAAAAAAATCTTCTTGGAGTCCACATCTCATTTGATAAGACAGGAATCACAGCTTCATTAGCAATTCACCTTCAAGTACATTATCTGGTGACAAATGAGGTGCAAATGCAAAAAATGCAAGTGATTTTCCTCCAATTGGGACATTTAAAACATGCAGGTGTCTCCTCTGAATCTATTTGTGTCTGGTGGGGAATAGCATACCCCGAGGCCTCAGTATAATTCAGACAAAAAACCCAAGAAATCGATATACTGAAAGAGTCTTCTGGATTCTGCTCTCACCTGGCTACTTTATTATCACTTTCTGTCTCTTTACAAATACTGGTTTTCACAAGACCCTCCCCTCAGAATTAACCAGAAAGTGTAACACACTGACAAAGAGCTTAAACTAGCATATGGTTTCCTCAGTCCTTTCTGGTTGAATATTATTTCTTTTTTTTTTTTAATTCCACCTGTAAATAGATCAGTCTCCTCCCTATACATTCTTCATGCTAACGTACTTTTGCTACGCTTTTCCCTGCAAGCCTTAATCAACACCTATCATTCCATTAGTCTCAGTGATACTTCCCCTTAAGATTACAGTTGTTTCATCCAGCTATTGATCTGTGAATACCACAGCGTTTGTCCCAATACATCTTTTGAGAAATGCTGGTTAGGTTTTCTGGGGATTCAACTTCATAGCAATGGATTTATGTCCAGTATTATGCAGTATTATACCTTACTCATTCAGTTCAGCACTCTTGAGTCTTCCTAAATTCAATACCTTTATACTAATGAATTCTATGATTCCACTCTTTGCAAGAAAGACTTTGCAAGAAAGCACTAACTTTTCCTTTTATTCTTGTGTATTTGAAAAAAAAAAAATTCTGTGCAAACACAACTCTGATACAAACAAGTAGATCTTCAGAAGCTGATTCATTACTCCACATTTCAGTGCTCAGCTCTGCAAGCAGTTATCTTACGATTTCAAGTACCATAGAAATTGGTCCAATAATTTCTCATTCTTGTCCACAACTGAAAGCAAAAGAAGTGTTCCATAAGTTTTCATTTGCACCCGTTACACACAAAACAATACCATTCTGACTTGACAACATTTAAAGAGATTTTGCAAAGACACAAATTCATAAATTGGAACTATTGCAACAAATCAGAGAAAATAATTTTATTGCCTTTATTTCAAGAAAATGTTTCCAAAATTTTCTGTGCCTCTGAGTTATAACCCGGTGTTATCCTTTATACACTGAGCTTAAACACTTCATGGCTTGTTTTAATGTTGCACTTTTCAGACCCAGCAATCACAAGGTGTACCTCAGACCTCTGCACGAGACCTGGGATACGGATGGCTCGGTTAGTATCAAGTGCTTAGTAATCCACAAGATTTAAGAATGTTCCTTCTTGGTCACTGCTGTCTACCGTAAGACACAAAACCAAAAAACTATTTGCCAAAAGAAATTTTTTACCATGAGGGTGGTGAAGCACTGGCACAGGTTGCCCAGAGAGGCGGTGGAGGCCCCATCCCTGGCAACATCCCAGGCCAGGCTGGACGGGGCTGTGAGCACCCTGGGCTGGTTAAAGCTGTCCCTGGCACTGCAGGGGTTGGGCTGGGTGGGCTCTAAAGGGCCCTTCCAACCCAAAGCATTCAATGATTCTATGATTCATATGTACCAAAAAGGGAAACAGATGGATCACATTCAAACACTTAATTTGTTGCACAGTTCCCATACATACACACAGTACATTGTCTCACGTAACCACCACAGTCTGGAGGACTTAAGTCCTCACCTGCGTACAGTGTGCAAGGCATACACGCAGGCAGGCATGCTACGTGGAACAGTCTGCTAGAACTTCCCCCGCAAGCCAGCTCTGCTGACTTCAGCAGACAGAAGTACGATAGCAGGCCAGACCTCTGTGCTACACACGTAGGTGCCTGCGCCGGGTCACCACGTGCCACAGCATTCAGCACACATATTACACACTGCATGGCAGGCAAGCTGTACCTCACTGATCTCAGTGACATTGATAGCCAACATCAGATATTCAGGTGGTAAAACACAAACTCTACAGTCATTCTGTAACCTCTGTGTGATCACATCCTCTACCAAACCTCGGAGTACTTGGACAGCGAACTAGCAATGGCTGTTAACAGTGCTCTGCATGACAGCAACAAGAACCTCTTTCAGGTTATCAAGAGAGCTGATGGTAGAAAGAGGGAATCAGGATGCTTGTACCACCTACCTTCCCAATGTGGACAGAGACCCCAGGCTTACAAAGCCAGCTTGGGCCTCCTGTAGATCCAAAAGCTTTGGGCAGCACAGCCTCAGAGTCTGACACCACCAGGATGATATTCCTGACTGTCATTTATCAACACCAAATTTGCTCATCCACTGCCAAAACCAATGCTGCAAACTCAGCTTCCGTATGGCATTTTGCTGCGTTTTTTTCAGTCCTGACCAGGACTCCCATGATAGATTTGCCTAGGACCTGAGGATTAATTCAGCAGAGAGCTCCATATAACCTCTTTCACCCTAAAGCTCTCTCCACACTCAAAAATCCAAAAGAAACATGACAAGAAACAACCTCATCTCATAGAGTAAGTCTCCCAGGTGGGAAGGCTGCAGTACATTTGGCCACCTGGCACATACCAAAAAACCTGAAGTCACTGCCATTTGGCTTAGCTTGCTGAATCTCATCACACGGCCTCAAAGAAACACTGGAAGACCCAGTGCTGAGTACAATCCTTACCCCAGATGCTGCTGCTAGGACGGGTAGTGAGAAGGCTGAGCTGAGAAGCAGTCCTACTACAGCTCTCTGATCTCTGAAAATGATTCTGAACATGTAACAGTACCATGAGAAGCAGAATACATGGCCCATTGTTTGAAGACAAACGCAATGCAAAGGGCTTAAAAGCTACAGTGCCTAGAAAGAGCCAGTGAAGGATTGCTCCAACGTAGTCCAAGTAGCAGGTGTGAACCAACTCGGCCATGCCTTGTATGAGCTACTTTGAAGATGCAGTAAATGTACGTTAGTATCTAATTCCTTTCAAATTAGGGCTGAGCAAAGATGTCTTTTAGGTCAAGACTGGTTTTGCCCATTTTCTGTGTCTTTAAATCCAGAGCGAGAGCACTCTCTCAAAACAGTGTAAAACCAACAGTAATGGACTATAAAGAAAAGCCTCATTTTACTGGTTTCTGGTCTGGGAAAACACAAGCTTATTTGCCAGATACCTATTTGTGACATCTCTATCTGCTTTCCTATGCAAAGCATATTCTGGTAACTTAACCAAATTCTAACCAGTAAATCTCTCCTGCCAGACACCAGAAGGAACACTTAATACTGTCTGATGCTCCTGTGGTGGCACACATTAAAAACCAGCCAAGATTTTAAGGTCCCTAAATGTTTCTTGATCTAACACCGAGTTCTTAATTTTTCATGTTTCTATTCAGAAAAGTTGGCTCAGCTTTGCAAACTTTTGCTGCCCAGAAACATTCCTCCATTTCAGTCAATTGCAAGTTAGGAGTCTTTCCACAGCTAAAATACATTTGCTGGCTTGGGTCCTCTCTGTCAACTATGCTAAAGAGCCTTTTTTTTTTGTTATTTACTACTTTTAGTGTGATATAAGACAAAATATGAAATAGAGAATAAGGTTGTGTATATCAGACAAATCCCTTTGCTGTAATAAAAATAACTCATTGTATCTGTGCTAATCACAACACTGTTCACAGATCTAGAACATGGAATGAAAAATCATACTGTAGTTCATACTGTAGGACAGGACAATAATCCTATAAAATACAGGATGCCTAGTTAACCTCACTAGAGAACAAAATAAAAAAATAAACTGACAAGTATCTCAAACAAGCAGTACAAAGTGAAGAGTTTTTACTCTTACTCTTTTGTATTTGAGATTTCTTTCCCCGTGTTATTTGAGTTTCTGCTCCTTAAGTTCCTAAGACAAGGTGCCTTCTGTCTGCAGTCTGATACCTCCTATAAAAGTATCTTGTAGGGAACAAAATGTCAACTTTGGTCCAAAATTAAGTTTGCAAGAAATAAAGTCTCTGCAAAGTATCGAGTTTCCCTTATAAACATTTTATTTTTTCTCTCTCTTAGTAGGACAGGTTTAATGTTCACGAATCAGAGTGTCATTGTTTGCTAGCTGAGCACTGCGGTTTTGTATCCCTTCAAACAGTGCATCCAATCAGAAGATAACTGATGGAAGCATTGCATAGTACGAGACAGCCTTAGAATACAGGCAAGGGAAAATATACTTCGTTCTGAAGTTTCAGAGTAAAACGAACTGATTTGAAAGTAATGAGATGAAAGTATGAGAGAGAAAGGAAATACTTATGAGTAAGTGTGGAAAATGCTGGGAGATGTTCTACTGCTGGTGCCTATATATATGATATACCAAACACATACAAAACCTATTTTCATACCTCAATGAGTTTGTCTCCTTTGACTACATCCAGATGTAAGCCAGGTGGTGGTTTCCCTGCCCTGGAAAATAAAGAGAGGAAAATATAGTATCAAAATATTTAACAGAAAGTTTATTAGTGTTAGAGGTAATATTCTACTAGAGCTACAGACCAAACCTACACAAATGTAAGCAGAATTATTTTGGGGAAAATATTGAAATGCCATAATTTTCTTTTCCTCCCTGCAGACTCCTTCTGACAACACATAAAACATGATTTTTTACAATAAGAGTTAAGCTAACAGGACACGAGGCATTTCAAGCTTTACCTCTCCAGGTGAAAAATAGCTAATTTACCAAATGAACAGAGCAGCTCCTAAGAGAACATGATATGAGGCCAGGAAGAGGCTAACAACTAGAGAACGGGACAGGCTGGGACTGTTTGCTTAAGGGCCTGCTCAAGGGATCTGTGTTCTCACGTTACCTTCAAAACAGTAGATCTCTACCCTTAGCTGCTGAGAAGAACAGAAACTTCTACCATCTTTGCCGTCTAGGACTGGTAATGGCAGAAAACCTGAAAGGGGCTCAACACGTAGCTGTAATATTATAAAAATGTTGGCCAATAGCCAGCGCTCCTCCACACTCACCCTACAATCAAATTTTCCTACCAACACAGGTAACATGGAAGAGATTACAGTATTAGATAGCAGAGGGACCCCTACCCTACGATAGCACAATCCTCCCTCCACCAAATTCTCAAAGAGCAGCTCAGCTGCCCCAGCCCTACAGCTCCATCCCTGCTCACCTCCTGTGAAGCAGATTCACCAGTCAGACAGCATTATTCCCACGAGGGCAAAGGCAGCACAGAGGCACATAGGACTCGGCAATGCACAGCAAAACAACATTAACATGCGTGAGAACCCATGGGGATTAGCAGCATCAAAAACGTATTTGGTATTTACAGTGCTCAAAACCAGGACACCACTGTGGTATCAATACGCCGCCCTTCACTACATAGGATCTTTGGCTGTTGACAGCAAATGATCTTTTCCTGCTCAGATCTCTAAAAATCTGCATCTCTAGTACTTCTTCACTGATAATAGCACTGCTCCTTGTCTCTACGGCTGGACCAACTTTCTAGGTGATAGCAGTGACGCAGTTCTCAGCTGTACTGCTGCCCTTCTGAAGAATAACTGCAGAGGAGATCACATTCCCATTTACTGCTTTGCTCACTGCACAGAGGAAGCCAAGAGAACAGCGACAATGGGTAGTGACATTCTCAGCATGGCTGTAGAAGAAAGAAAGGTCACTTGTAATTGAAGTTGAGGAGGTTAAATACAGATGTTCATGTTTCTGGGACATGTCTTAAAATTTGAAGGCTTCTTCTGTGTCCCCAGGCTATCTGGTTACCATACACATGCTCTCCCAGATAACTTCATACAAGAACACAGTTCTCTTATTTCTACTTCATTTCTTTCTCAAGTATTGCACAAGCTTTTTCCATTCTTGCTCCAAATCCATTATACTAGCCTGCTCAGATCACTCTCTGGCCTTTCTTGAATATGCCAGTTGGGACTTTCACAAGTTTTCTTACCAAGCCTTTCTCTAAGATTGTGGATAGTACCATCCTAGCAGAATAAGATGGATATGGCTGATACTGGTTGTTATTCTTTTGGATGAACAAACAGCAGCAGCAAAAGCAGAGGATGCAAAGCTCCATGACAATCTGCTAATACGGTGACTGCTTCCTAGAAAAGGGATAACAGTGGTGTGGGGGAAAGACCAGCAAGTAAAAGTGCTCCCAAAGAAGATACACAGTCTGTCCGATGAGTTCTACAAGGATTGATCCTTCCAGTCACTCCAGTACAGCTAGGGGACTGCCTCCTCTTAAGTACTGCTCTAGGATCATCCAGCCAGGCTACACCTGAGTGTTGCTGTCTCTTCCTGTGCTCCCCTCAGATCTCAGCTCCCATTTTTCATTGAAAGACAGGTTTCATTCATGGATTCATGTCTACTTCTCAGTGTTTCCTCTTTCTGCCCCTGAGCACTGGCAAACTTGTTTTTCTCCATTCCACTGAAATTGCCAAGTTCTAGTTACTCTGCAACACAACTTTTGATAATTTTCACAAAGCCTGCCTTACTTTGATCAAACAAAAGCTGCTTCCCCCACCTTTTTTTTTTGTTTTTCCAAATAGGTAAACCTTTCAACAAATTAACTCTACAAGCAAGTCTACTTACTTACTCAATCTGGCCTCTGCTTTTATTTTCAGTGATCTCTTCCTGGATACTCAACAGTCAGTCTGTCCTAAAAACATTTTAGGAACATCCTCAACGTACCTGTTAGGTCACGAGAAAGCTCTCAAGTGCTCTAGCACAACCCCTTTCCTCTTCTGTAAACTGAATCCTGTCTGATGGTCATCTTCTGCCATATACAATTGCTGACTTTTCATTACCCCCTCTACTTCTAGTCTCACCCTTGCTGTTATTTTACTCTGCTTTTACCTTCAACTTTATTTTGAACACAGAAAAAGAGCCCAGCAACAGCACAAGATAGTGCCTTCCACTATGAGTTAAGTTTCTTGAAAAATTTATCTATTCTCTGGCATCTTTTGGACCAAGAATCCTTTGTAAACAGTATTTCCCCTATCTACCTATGCCTGCAAAACACTGTCATTTCTGATACAGAAATGATTTAGCCTGTCCCTTTGGAACAAACTAAATCAACACCACAGCTTAGGCTGCTGAAGTTAGATACTTGAAAAGTCTTTTAATTAAAAAAGTAGAAATATTTTCCAGTTCTATATTGGAAACTAATTAGTTCCAGTCACCAAAGGTCAAAAGCACTGGTTGTATTTGGAAGTATCAACAACCCCTCACGTGCTCTGCCCTATCAGACCCCTCACCTCATGCATCAAGGAAGTAAAACATTGAAAGGAAACCTCTTGCAAAAATCTACTAGAAGAAAGTCTCTTAGAAAGTTGGCACTGTGCTGTTAGAGGGGAGCAGGTTTTTCCCTCTTGTTGCCAATATTAAAAAAAAGTCCTCTCCCACTAACTAGTGTGCGAAAATACCCACTAAACTAGTTTTCCTACGCTGTTCTGAAGGATGGAGAATTACTTGAGGTCAACTGACTCTCCCCTCCATAGAACACATACAGACAGCCAGGCTTAGCACAGCTCCAAGACAAACGATCTCACATCAGAACTTGGCTCCAGCACAAGTTGCTTGCGTTTGAAAGAGAAACAAGAAGCTGTTCTGTACCTTCCAGATTGTGTATTATAGTCCCCATTGCCTGAATGTCTTCTGCTCTCTACAGGTCAGCGTTCTGCAAATGACCTTAAAATAAGACCTGCGAATGGACTAAGTGTTAATGATTGCTAGTTCAGCAAGTTTAACTGAGACAAAGTATGCTTAAACTGCCTACTGAATTGCCTAAGCCTTACTTGGGAGAAAAGAAGCCTTCCAGAGAATTAATGATGCTGATTGGCAAAGAGAACATAAGCATAACCGTATCATTAAATTAATTCTCTGGGTCAGAGAAGAGGTGAAAGGACATCCCACACTACAGCTTTTCTTCACTAAGAATGAGTCCACGGAACTCAAAGAAGTGTCAGAATAAGAAAGTTTGAGAATTGATAAGAAGAAGTAACAAACTGCAAAACCCAGATGGTATTCAGCCAAGCATTCTAAGAGATATCATACCAGTTTTCTACACTTAATAGCCTAGGAATCTGTTGTCAGAAAAATGGAAGTATCAACTGATGATGCTAATTTTAAAGCATATTTCAGGAGTGATGTGGAAACTACATACAGTAAACTCAAGCTCTGACTGGGAAACCGGTAGAATAGAGTATTTCAGTTCGAAGAGACATACAACGATCATCTAGTCCAACTGCCTGACCACTTCAGGGCTGATCAAGTTAAAGCATGTTATTACAGGCATTGTCCAAATGTCTCTTAAACACTGACAGGCTCGGGGCATCAACCACCTCTCTAGGAAGCCTGTTCCAGAGTTTGGCCATCCCCTCAGTAAAGAAATGCTTCCTAACGTCCAGTCTAAACCTCCCCTGGTGCAGCTTTGAACCATTCCCATGCACCCCATCACTGGATACCGGGGAGAAGATATCACCACCTCCCTCTCCATGTCCCCTCCTCAGCAATCTGTAGAGAGCAGAGCTGTAGAAACTGTACTACTGAGTAGAACTAGCAGCCAGATAGGAATTGAACAGCCAGACGAGAACAGAGTCATTGAATCTGCACTTCAATACTTAGCAGTAATTATCCTTTGGAAACATGACAATATGTGGGGCATGACAGTTCTTCCAATGCCAGCAAAACATTTTTCTTGGATTAAAGGAGGATAAAACTTGTTTTGAATTACACATAATCTGCTCCTTTCAGCCTTTGTAAGAATCCCAAGACAACGACCATGCTGAAAGAACGTCTTGTTTGACAGAATACAACCAAGCACTGAAATAGTTTCTGTTCTACTTAAGATGAGTTGAGTGTCCTGGGAAAGGAGTTAATGTAGTATCTGGATAAAATTGATGTTTCTTAGCCAAATCAGTTGACTTCTTGCAAGAGAAAGTGGGCGGACTCATGGATCATGAGAAATGAGTAGGGAATTGAGACTGTTGTTCACTACCTGTACAATGGATGGGGAATTAACAAAATGGACTGTTTTCATACTCAAAATACTCCTAATTGGATGTTGCAGTTTTGGGTTTTGAGGTTTGGGTTTGGTTTTTTTTTTGTGTGTGTGTGGTTTTTGGGTTTTTTTTATTGCAAGGTGAACTTTCCTTAAAATGATACTCCTGCAAGATGTGTACTATTTACACAGTGGTCCAAAAATACTGTATTCATGTTCCTTCAGACCATTTCTCTTGTAAAATGAGCACCCTATTTAATCTAGAGAGCAGTGCTGCTTCTGTATGACGTCAAGAACCCTACTTATCTTTCACATTCCTGTAGAATTGTATCAGGCAGATCGAACTGACAAACCCAGAGTAAGGAACCTTTTGCAAAATAAAAAATACCTCCAGTAACCAGTATCAGGTGCCTCACACAGAAATACTCTCCCAGT